GCTGTCTACTATCATGTTCCATTGCAGTGTTCCTCAAACAGTGAAAATGTAGGATCCTTTCTGGTAAGAATCTAAAAGCACCTTTGGGGCCAGGCAAGCTCTCCTTATCCCTGCCCAGGGAGGAAGATCCCCGTGGCTTCTCTTCACACAGCCAAAAAGTTTTTTATTCAGTTAACATTCTAGCAGGTTGTGTTACGAAAATAACTTTGTGTTTCCCGAGTATAAAGATCTAATTATTTTTCATGTGGTTTTCAAAAGCACAGACTGTCTTTCACTTTGGAGAATGTGGTCGAGTTCTTCCAGTTCCTTTCTCAAATGTGCTTGTGCTTTTTCCAGCCTCACTACTGTTTTAGGCATCATTGCTTCTGCGCCCTTCTTTGTGGCCAAATGCATACATACTTATCTTTTAGGGTGTAAGTTAAGGAACACTGTGTCCAAAGGTTGGGTTTTTTTTTAGCTCTTTCTACACAAAATTAGATGTTCCTTTGTTGTTTCCTCACTCTTCTTTTCCCAGTTAACAAACTTATCCATATTGCTTTATCATGAAAGCCATATTTAAAACCTTTACCTTTATAGTGTTCAGTGCAAGATAGGCCCTCCTTGTTTTCTTTTTATCTAATGAGGCATGACTCTAAGTGCCAAACTGCACAAAAGGGTTACTGTTACTAGATTTCAAACTGCCATGCCCTGTACACTAGTGGCTAACAAGGCAAGCAGAGACATAGTCCTTACAGAAGTAAAGTGTTACTAGTCTCTGAACCTGTGGAAGCAAGAGAATTTTATCTTCACAACTGAGAGGTTCCATTTGTTGATTTGCCGGTTAGTACAGTTATGTAGGTATTACTAGGTGCTTTTGTACAACTTTCCATCCTGGATTCAATTGGAGAATAACTTGTAGACCATAAATTATAGACTATAAATGCTTTTTATTCTGATATATTATAAGCATATTTCTATATATGTGAAAGCTAGTTAAATTCTATTTCATTTAGAATGAAATAACTTCAATTTACCAAACACTCCACAAGTACTATAATTCATTCATTCATTCAGTTAACTGTTGTGTGCCTATTACATGTCGTATTGTTTTGAGTACTGAAGATATGGTTTTAAATGCACTCCTTTCTTCAGAGCTTGTATTCTAGTGGAGAAAGTTAGACAAGGGTTTTAAGAAATAACTATATAGCATGTTAAGTGGTGAGTACTATAAAGAATACAGCAGGGTAAGGGTTGAATGTGACTTGGCTATGGGTGCTATTTTATTTAAAGTGGTTGGGAAGGCACCTCTAATCACTTGTCTGTTGCATTAGCATTTGTGTCTTCAAATTCTACCCTGTTGGCCAAATGCCTTGTATACTTAGTGCATTTATAGTTACTCTTTCTTATGGATGTTCTGATAATAAAAAATAAGTAACTCTTATGGCCTTTTTGCTATATTTAAGAGATTTCTCTTCAACAGGGGCTTTACTGATGGTTATTACGTAAATACTTTGTTGAAGTTTTACACTTGAAATTTCTCCTCAGTTTATATTCCCTGATGGCTTCTAAAATTTAAACTCTGTTACATGATTTCTCACAAATCTTAAATTTGTATTATTTTCCCAGTGTGAATTTTCTGATATCAACTGGGCTTTTTAAGACTTACTGAAAGTCCTATTTTCCTACATTTGTAAGATTTCTGACCTTGTGAGTTCACTGAGGCTGATTAAATTGCAGATCACAACTTTTTGCTTATTCCTTTGCATAGAGCACACCAAAGTGAGAGGCCTGGCTAGAACCTACTGTAAAATTACATTCCTACCTAACAGTCTCCTGGGAGTTCTCTGATACTCCTGGATTATAGGAGTTACAGTGTGACATTCCTGGATTCA